AGATTTATGTGGGGACCAGAGAAAGTTTATTTTCTTGGGTATCACTTACCCGGGTAAGTGATACCCATCTCCTAGGTGGGTAAATAACTAATAACTTTCCCACCTTGAGGGAAAGTTGCCAACACTTGAAAGGGACAAAAATGCCCCTTGTAATAATGGGTTTTTGTGTATAAAATGGTCATTGCCTTATTTACATGGAAAATAAAAGAACATGGGTAAATGCACTTACCCGAGTAAATCTTTCCTGGAGAACAATTAGCTGGATAAGTTTATTTACCCGGATAAGTAACTTGCTGAAATGCAAATAGGGCCTCAGAGAAATTTCCTATGGTCAAGTAATAATAATAAGAAACCCATACATTTTATGAGTTTGAGTAAAGTTTGTATGCCTAAAAGATGGGGTGGTTTATGATTAAAAAAATTGTATTGGGTGAATGATGAAAATCTTGCTAAACTTGGGTGAAAATTTTTAAATGATAAAAATAATTTGTGGGTTCAAGTTGTATCAAATAAATACTTAAAGAAGGATAATTTTTTGGAGTGCAAAACCTACGAAAGGCATTTCTTGGGCTTGGAAAGGGATTTACAATGCTAGACCTTTGATAAATTGTGGTATTGGATGGATTGTTGGAGATGGAAAATCTATAAATTTCTGGAAGGACAAATGGGTGGATGCCTCATCTATTTCTGAAATAATTAATTGTGACCCTTCTTTTGTTGAGCATCATTTTAAAGTGAGTGAAATTATTAATCATGATAGAATGGTTTGGAGGGAAGAATTATGGTCAATCACCAACCCTACAATTTTTTGAAATAAAGAGTATGTTGCTTATATTTTACAATGGTGGAAATGTTTTATTAAAATGGTAAACCAAATTTACTTGAAAAATGTTGCATTATTCTTTTGATGATTTGGAAAAGTGGAAATAATAAAATTTTCAACAAAAATTGTCCCTCTCCACCTATTTTGGTCAAACGTGTTTTAAATTTTTTTTTATGTGATTAATTAGGTTGTTAGTCCTCAATTGATTCCTTCTATGCCTAAATGTTGGAGAGATATTAGGTGGAAATGCCCAAAAGTGGGGGATTCAAAATAAATTTTGATGCTTCCTGGAATGAGGATGGGGCTTGCTCAATTGCTTGCATTGCTATAGAAATTATTTTAGGGAATTAGTAGATGTAAAAGCCTACTTTATTGGGGTTAACTCTATTAATCTTGAAGCTTGGGAAGCCCATAGTATTGCTCTCAGTTTCAAGGATCATCTAGTTTGCATTGAAGGTGACCCTTTGCTGATGATCTCGTGTCTCAGGAATTAATGTTAGACCCTGTGAAGATTAAAGACCACCGTGGAGGAACGTTCGAGGTTAGTCAAGACTTTGGATCTCGGTGTGGAGTACTAGCATTTGTTTAGGGGAAGCAAAACAAGATGCAAATTAGCTGGTGCATAAAGCTTTGTCGAATATATGATATTTGTGGCCGATTTACCCGTCTTGTGTAGCTCCTCCTATTATCTCCTTTTTTGTTCTCTCTATATATATATTGCATTTGGCATTCCTTACTTAAAGGATTTATTTATTTTTTGCAGTTAAAATGCCCCTATGAACACTTAGTTTTTAATAGCAAAAAAGAGATAAATCCCTATAAGGAATGCCAAATGCAGCCTAAATGAGATAATTAATTACCATTATTAAGTATAAGCATTTGTAGTTGAGACAACAAAGTGGAAAAATTTTGTAAGAACGTTTTATATTATCTTCATTATTTAAGTCATATTATATTATTTATAGCATAGAAATTATCATAAAGGTAAAATCATGGACAGACGAATGAAAAAGCAGGTTAAAATTTGAAGTGGACACTTTGTTCAAGAAATTGTTAAAGATTATAACCATATCCAGTCCACCGCTCCCAACCCCAGATAGCTGGACCAACATTGGGTAATGCCCGCTTTATAAGTCATTTCCAAGTGTAATTTGGTAGTTTATTTGAAAATGTTTTAAACGAAAAAGGTTTAGAAACTAAAGGCAATCTTACAAACGAAAATGAAAATAAATAATTAAGTTTTACTTCGTACATGTCTTATTGATCAGATGGGTTATTTTGGTTATATGTTTGGACAACATAAACATTGTAATGGAGTTAGGATTACATGAAAGTATAGAAGCTCTTTCTGCTCCTTCAGAGTCCGTAAATCTTAGTTTAGCTTCTCTTCCTTCCCCTCTTTTTTCTATTTGTTTTGCTGATGTTTGGGGACGTGTTATGCCGTCTTGTGTAGACCCTTTTGGTTATATCAAAAGAAAAAAAAAAATAGAAGTTTTAGAACTCCTTTTAATTATCTGTTTTTAATCTTTCATTACTTGTCCACCATGTTTATATTTTGATGAATACCTGATTGGTAACAACTTTTATGACACAGGTTGATTGGTCATAAGTTTTTCCTATTGAAATGTTACTAAATCAGTTAGAAGGCAAGATCAACCAATCACCTGGTCTGATGTATCCAATTTTCTGGGTCATTAACTTTGGATGAGATGTAGTATTCAATTTGAATGAAATGAATTTGCCTGAGGGTTTCAAAATAAATAAATAAATAGATAAAAAAAGAAAGAAAGAAAGAAAGAAAGAAAGGTAAATGTTGACATATTCAATTTGTATCCATGAAATGCCATTAGATATCAACGATTGAAGTTCATCATTAGCCATGTTCAATTTGGTTTCCTAAACATATTCAAATTTTAGAAGAACAAAGTATAAAAAGAACCAAAAAAAAAACGAATGAAAATAGAATCTCTCTGATTGATTTCAATATGGTTTCACAGAGCACAGAGATTAATAGAAATACATCAAACATCATTGTTTCTTCACCCTTTTTCTTTCTTTATCATTGGTTATGTTAGAAAGACAATAGGGACGCGTTTTACTGACAACCCCATATCATCATTTTGCCTATGAACTTGCCTTTTTTTGTGGATGAAACCATGAAGAGAAAATTCTTGTAAGCCAGACTGATGAAGAGAAATTCTTGTTAACACTCCTTGCACCTGCATGTGGTCCAACGCGTCAAGTTTAATTACTACTTCCAAGGACACAAAACCACGTCAAGCTTAACAATTTTCTAATCAAATTGCCTTCTCAGACACTCCATGGCACAAAAAACTCTCATCCTCCATTCTCGCTAAAGACACCTCTTCGTCAGGGAGGTAATGGCGTGATTCCTCCGAGCGCACGCTCCGCCGAGCACCCTCGTCAGAGGAGCACGTGTGGCTTCATTATTATATGGTCGACTATTACCATATTATTATTCTAAGCTAGCTTAAAATAACAGAAGAAAACAAAGAGTAGAGATGAGTCTTGGAAGACAACCCTCCATGTCCTCGATTCACGATGAATTGTTTACTTGATAGAAGGCTATGCTAAACCCTAAATAATTAAGAAACAAAGTAAACAAATAGTAGCTTTGGTTGCTAAGATACTTGGATTTTGAAATCTTCAGTCAAAGCAACAACATATGAACGAAGATGAAAGGAAGAAATAATAATATAAAGAATGGAGGAGGGCAGATGGGGTGGCCGACATCTCTTCTTCATCAACAAACAAAAGCGAGACACTGATAGGGACTAAGCTCAAACAAAGGAGGGTCCCCACAGGTTTTGTTTTAAAAGAGAGAATAAAAAAGGAAGATCTTTTACAGTCTCATATTTGACTAATACTTCTCGTGCCATTGAAAACTTGGCCTTTGCAGGACCAGGATATGGCATGTGCAGGGAGCTTGTGATTTACAGTAAGTTTTATTAATGGCCAAAACTATTCATAAAAGATGGGTAAATATTCCTAAGGGTCAAGCACATAATCAGGATTCACACCTTTCTAATGGGTCCCAGCTAATGATACTCTAGGTTTATCAATACAAAATGTAAGCTCAACCATCTCATCGATCCATCGCAATTCTTTTGGTTGAGTGATGAAAACTAAGTGTGAATGGTCTGGCAAAAAGAGCAGGTCTGTTTTCTGTGTTGTCATCACCAGTGTTATTACCAACTCCAACCCAAACCCTATCTTCACAGCTATGCCCTGTCAATGATCTGAGGCCCGGATGATGTATTTATGTAATCGGATCGGATTTAGATGTTACAATCTACACCAGATTAAACAATCACCATAGAATATTTTAACTAGGAGAGATTGACTGTATTAGGCAGGTCTTCATAGATTGCCTTTGCCTTGATATATTTGGTTATTACGTGAACCTATTAGAGAAGGGTCATCAGTAGATCAATTAATGAGGAAGATCTGGAGATTAATTGGTCTTGTGTGAACCCATTAGAGTGGGTCATCATCAGTTGAGTTAATGAGGTAGAGCTGGAGAGAGTTAGTACTAGATTAATCAGTCAAAGAATGGTCAAAGAAAGGCAATTGGTGTAGGTGGGGAAAAGGGACGAGAAGGTGTTGTTCTAATTCTAAATTAGCGCCGAAAGGTGCAAGACAGCCATCATCTAAGCGGGGTAGAGACAGACGGGATTTGAATTGAATCTCAGAAAAGAAAATAAATGAAAAGATAAAGACACCCAAAAGTTTCATACAAACAAAAAAACAAGCAGATAGCATTTGCATCTTTCATATATTTAATTCTTTCCATTTGCGTTAGCAATAGCCGAATAGAATATCTCCACTTTAATTCTTCTTTGCTTGTCCAACTCCAACATATAGCAAATTAAACTATATTTTCTTTTAGGCTACATAGATTGCCTTATAAATATAACTGCAACTAAAAATAATATATAGATGCGAGCCTTAGATATTTAGAAGCCAAGTTATGGGGAGAATGAAGACAGACATTGCATAGATGTAAAGCGATTCCAATCAAGACTTTCTGATTGCAAAGGGGTAAAATCTATTAATAGATCCTAGCCTGAAACTCTGAATAGAAGGTTAGATAATAATAATAATAATAATAATAATAATAATAATAATAATAATAATAATTAAAGAAACAAGCATGGGAACTAATAATATTTGGACTCTCTTCATATCATAGATAGTTAAATACCAATAGGATGGATAAAAGATACAAAAGGATCTCTTTCCCCTTATACCCATATATGAATAATGTCAGTAAAGAAAAAAATAAAGCAAAAGGGAAAAGAAACCCGAGAGGGAAAAAAGAGAAGAAAAAAAAAAGGAACATAACCGTAACTTAGATTTCTGTTAGTTTAGTCTTCTGTCAGCTCTGCTATCTCTGAAAGGATTTGTCAGTTCATCTCATCTGTTCAAGTTGGCTATGCTGCGTACGTTAGCAATGTTGCTGCCCTTGATGTCACAGATTCTCCTCCCTTCCACTACTGAGATCATTCCATACCAAAAATCGGTGTCTGAAACACTGAAAGATTGGGCTTTCCAGATTGGTATGCATGAAGAGGCGTAACCCAGCTACCATAACCAGAACCATCATAACTGTTGCCCCCAGTTACAGTAATGGGAGTAGCCAATGGGATAGAATTGCTCTGATGTTGTTGTTGAAGAAACCCACCATTAAAGAACCCATCGTTGGTTTCATTAATAGATGAAGTTGTGGAGAAATCCATGTTGAAGCTGGGTGACAGATTCTGAAATGCAGAAGCACCATTTGTTGTTGAAGGTTGAAACAAGGTTGCTGCTGTTGATTCTACCCCAAGGTTCTTTACATTGTTCTGAGAGGATGATGTTGAAGGGTTTTGAAAGCCAATAATAGACCAATAATCTGCGGGGTCTGGCTTAATGGGAATGGCAAAACTGAGAGTAGATGATGAAGGCTGAGATGCAAACGAAACTGACGAATCGTCCGACTTACTTCCCTCATTACTCTTGTTATCAGAAACTGATTCTAAAGAAGCTTTGCTTTTGCTCGTGATGCTTCCTATAGGAAGATTGCTATTGGCAATGCTTTTCACATCATATCGGCTCATATCGAAGTTGGTCACTGCATTCACTCCTCTAAACTTGATAGCTGCAATATCATAAGCTTCTGCTGCTTCTTCTTGGGTGCCTGATTGACAGAAATTTAATTCAACCATACGTTAGTACACAGTTCACAACCCCACAAACGACAGAACAATATTCATCTTTATAAAACGATAGAAATACTAACTGAAGGTTCCCAAGTAGAGATCTTTGTTGCCTGCAACTCTCCCTATTCTTGCTTGCCATCTTCCATGTTGATGGTGTCTGAAAAACCCAGAAGGAAGAAAACCATATTTGTTTTTAGCTCGTAAAACAGATTGAAAAAATCTAATGATAACAACCGTTCAATCTTTATAACTACACAATAACTATTCCAACATCCATGATTAAGAGAACACAGTGAGTCCAATGAACAAACCTTGTGACTCCTCGATAAATAGAGGCTCCTCTTGAAAACCCACTGCTTTTCCTGTAGAGTAGAAAACCCATTAAATAACAGCATCAACCAATACTTTAATGAAGAAACAGGAAATATGGATTCTCTAGTCTATACCTTCTAAGTGAAGCAACGAACTCCTGCCTGGTCATGTTCTTCATCTCCTCCAGCTCCTTCTCATAGTTTGAAACCTTAAAGAAAGTAACAACGCGTTAAATACTAATCAGAACCAGATAAGTTCTGACTCGCCGGAATCTGACACCAACTTACCGGAAAATTTGTGGTAGTTGTTGGACCCCAGTATTTGAGAGCTGCAAGGTCGTATGCTCTGGCAGCTTTCTCTTCCTTATCATAACCTCCTAAAATATATTAAAAAAAAAAAAAACAAGTAAGAAGGCAATCGATTATCTGAAAACCCTTTTTCATCAGTATCGATTATCTGAAAGACTGAAACCTTAAAAATAAAATAATGATTATTTCATGAGAAGACCGCCGAGAAAACTCACCCAAATAAACTGATGATGATTTCCAGCCATGGCAGCAATCATTCGTCGTTTACATGCATCCACAACGAGAGAAACTATAGATCAGGAACCGAAGTCACAGAACAGATACATTAAAAGAGTATGATGGTAGCAAAACAGCGACGTCAGATATAATGAGCGTCTTCAGTGATTGCAATATCATCGGTAGCCAGATGATCTGAATCGTAAACCGTTGGATCAGTGTCACTACCCATTCATGTTGGGATTTGTACCCTTGAAGTTCTTTTCCATTTTTGCCCATCATCCCGGTCTTTCAATCAGGACCCCTCAGTAACAGATCGCATGCTCCGGTTAAGGCTTTGCACTCTAGCAGGATACCATTTTTCTTTTCTGCTTTTATTTTTTATTTTTTTTCTTATTGAGAAAAGAAGAAAACCCTAATGAAAAAGTTACCTTGTCTTCCTTTCCGACTTTGTCCTTCTCTTCTGCAACTGTTGTCCCACAAATGAGCTTCATATCTCCCGGTCCATCGATGCCTACCAACCAAAAAGCAAACCCTTTATTGTAAATTCACACAAAAAAAAAATTGTTTTTGTAACGAAAACCAAGGAAAGTTACCTGGTAACTCCTCGATAGATTGAAGTTCTTTGTCCGAACGTATCAACCGCCTTCTTTGAGGCCGACTCCACCGGAACAACCGGCTTCTCAGTTTCGGTCTGTTCAGTAGAGTACCCACGCAAAAAGCTAGCAGCAATCGTCTTTAGCTCGGAATCATAAATGCCATTTTCAGGCTCCGACGCTGGGTTCTCACAGGGAAACTGACCCATTGAAGCCCCAGTTGCAGTTCCGGCACCGGCACCGGAACTGCCGCAAACGCCAAGGAAATCTTCAAGCTTTGGACCAACTGGGAACATCGACAGGTTTGCTGTTGCACTACCCCCATCTTCCTCCACTCTATCTACTCTCTCTACGGGAGATCACCAAGACATTCAAAAACAAAAGAGAATCAGAAACCAAGACTAAAAACCAAAACCCAGATGCGTTTTCTTGTCATTTTTTCTTTCTTTTATCTTCGGGGATCAAAGAAAAATAAACAAAAAAATACAAAAATCGTTGAGTACTGACTGTGATTAGTGTCGAAAGCTTCAAAGAGACAGAGCTGAGACGAATCTGAAGGGTGCTGTAACTGCTGTTGGTTGGAAAGAGAGAAGCCGAGCCAGTTTTGAGACGAGTCCATGCTGGTTGTGTTGGTGCGTGTGACAATGAGAGGGGTAGTTTGGGAAATAGAAGGGAAGAGAGGCATAAAACAGAGATTTGAAAGTTACAAGGAGGCGAGGAAATGGTGAAGGTGAACGAGTAGCAGTGAGAAGGGAGGACACAGATATAGAGGTGGTAAGAAAAAAAAGGGGGATTCATTTGAAGCCCTGCACGATCATCGAGAAGGTTACAGAAAAAGAAGAAATTGTTTTCTATTTTCTGCTAATTATCAATAAAAAATAATGTTCGTAGAGAGCTGCAAGTGGAAGCTTTTATGGGACGACTCGGCGGTCCTCTCTCTTCGTTTGGTCTTTCTTCCTTGACCGAATGTGTTTAGTGAGAAGGTATAGACTCTAAGTCTAGAGAGAGAGAGAGCGTGAATCAAAGGGAGAGAGAGATGTGTGTAGGGGAAACAAGAGAGCAAAGAAGGGGACACGAGGACCCATACAAATGGGCTGAAATCATTTCAAAACGCATGCATAGAGCGCCACGTGTTATATTGTTCTTTGTAGGGATTTCCTTGTTTGGACGTACCTTGATTTTCCAACCTCATTTATACAAGCTTTGCCACGTGGCAAATGTTGTGAGGAATGGGAATCAAATAGATCTAGGTCATCTGCATGGTTGCCATGAGTCGAAATATAACACACTCTAATGAGACATTTTAGTATGTAATTAGAGCTAAGCTGTGTGGTCGAGGATTAGTGGCTGGCAGAGGCAGAGGCAGAGGCAGAGGCGTTTGAGTGTTTTTTAAATGCTTGGCTGCTGCATGAAGAGAAGTGGGGCTGGGGGGGGCTATCAATTAACGTTGGTGCTACCGTCCAGGGATTAGATTCTGCTTATGGGCAGATCACATGCCTACGTGACTGCAGCAGACAGGTGGATCTCTTGGATATAATTATTCAAACCACGTGTCTGTTACGATTGAAGTTACGTGGTGCATCAGTGCAAAATTTTCCACACAAGTTTTTAATGATAAATAATAGTCCCAGTTTTTTATCCTACTGTACGTCACTTTTGTGAGAGTTAATGGTACCACAACTGGTACCTACCGTAAAAAACGGTACCGTAACTGGGTGTGATCAGTTTTGCTAGCAGGTGGAAGTGGCTGAATTTAACAGCTTATTGTTTTGTCTTTCAATGAATATAAGCTTTTAAAGAGGTTATGGACTCTCTAATTGCTGAAATTGAAGTTGGATACATCAGTGTACTCATGAATAATATTTTATTATTTAATGGGACCATCATTTGGTTTGATCAGTAGTTTTAATTGCAGCTTATATAGCTGAACGCCTGAACTGAACAACTTATTCTATTCTATTGTCTATTATAGTAAATAAGCTTTTAAATAAAGAGGGGGCTTTCCTTGATGGTTGAAGCTGAAGTTGGGGTAGATCATTATATCATGAATAGTTTATTATTTAATGGTACTATAAATGGGTAACATCTGAGGTGGGTGAAAAGAAAAAAAATAAAAAAAAAGTAAAAGAAAACTTCTGATTTTGTCTATTGTTGGTAAGGTTTTAATACTCCACTTGGTATGATTTGGGGGTCTATTGTTTAGATTAAGCATTAGTTTGTTGTTAAATGATGTCTAATGGGAGAACTAAATGGGAATTTGGATGGTTCGGTAAATCTAGAGGAACTGAATAAAGAATTGAACCTTTTGTTTTATTGTTAAGCAATATTCTAAAATATAAATAAAAAATTAAAGGATTACATCTAATTTATTGCTGTTTTGGCAATAATTAAGTTGAACGTAGAAGCGCGTGGAGTAATGGGTGAACTACTTCAATAATTGTACATAGTGAGAAAAATTATTAATTCTCATGTGTTGAATATAGCTGAAATAATTTATCTGAAAAATTCTTTTTCTCCTCCCATGGTCATTTTTTATCAGAAAGAATTCAGAAATGAGTTAAATCGGTTCTTTAGACTGTCTCGGATTGTTATAATGAGCTTATACATGGGTTAAGCATTTTATCCGGGCTTGTAGCTTAGACTAATCAAGACCAAAATAAAGCCTAAGCATAGTTATGGGATTTAACGTGAACACTAAGATGGCTTAAAAAAAAAGGGTGAACACTACTATCAATATTATGTTTAAGTGCATGGTACTAACTAGTTGGTTGGTAAGGTCCTCTACTGGTCTTAGTGGAGATTTGGGATCGAATTCTATATGCACCTGGGTTAGGGGATGGGCTACCCTCCGGAGTTTACATCAGCGCCCCATGAGGGGACATCCCACCTGTGGGGCGCTGATGTGATATACTGATATCTACTTACACCCACTATTGAATAAGGGTCAACTACCAACCCACCCACAATAATTCATCACCCCATTTGCCACCGATATTATTACATGTTAAGTGGGTCATAACCCACCCTGACCCTGATTCACCCTAATTAATTTGCACCCATATGATCCATTAATATTAATGGGATTTTTTAACCTATTCAGTATTTCAAATGCATAAAAACATAGAAATATACTTCAATTAAAAAAGCTTAAAAATGACAAATTCAAAAAAATCATAAAAACTGTATATTTCATGTAAACAGTAAAAATTACAGAAAATATAATAAAGTTCTAGAAAATGTAAAAATAAAAAAAGAAAAACACATAAAATGCACAAAAAACACAAATTACAAAAAAAACACAAATTGTAGAAAAATAAAAAAATTGAATAAAAACAAAAAAGGTAGATCAACAGAAATTATAAAAAAAAAACAGCAAAAATTATAAAACAACACAAATTTGTAAACAAATAAAAAATGACAGGAAATTATAAAAATTATAAAAGAAAAAACTTACAAAAGAATAGATATTTCAAAAAAAATACTAAACCATAGAAGCCACCACCCTTTGGTTTTGCTTGCTTTTGTCTTTTCCAACTATGAGAGCAAGCAAACGAGAGAGCAAGTGAGCACGTGCATGCACACGAAAGAGAGAAGAGAGAGATTATAACTTGGATGGAGGACCATAGTTACGCTCAATTTTTTCCGCAAAAATTACAAATGGCAGTAATAAAGAAGAGAATTACAAATGCTTTAATTACTTGAATCACCATTCCCCTTTTGGAGGCTTTTACCATTTTCTACACAATCCAATATTGCTTACTTAGGTTTGTGTTAGATAGCTCCTGTTCTTGAGAGAACAGTTTGGGATTTCCCCAACCTATAGTGGAAACTCACCACTCACAAGGGAGGAATTACAGAGAAAAGAAAAGAAGATTCAAAATGTTTGGTGCCCTTTATTGCTATCAATTCTGTAATTATATAAACTTCTTCATTAGTTACAACCAAATAAAGGTAAATGATTGATACAATTATTATTAGGCTCCACCAAACATTAGATCCTAACGGTGTCTCATCCAATTACGTGCTTGGTAGTTGAGTCAAAAAAGATACCAATCAATTCATGTAATAGTTGTTAGACAGTGTATGCCCTTAGTTCCAAATAAATTGATGTATATTGAGTTTTATGTATTAATAATATCAATACATTATTGTTTTATGTTCAAATAAGTATATATATATTTCTATTATTTATACCCTAAATTGGATACCTTGTGACTAATATTAATTTAAAAGGTTCCAACCATTGGATAAACTTGGAGAGTTTATTTTGACAAGGCTAATACTGATGTGCTATCAAATTGGTAGAAAAATTTGTCTTAGTTGATGGGTTTAAACCCTAAGTACAGTTAGTGGGTATTTGTAAGAAACATTGGACATTGACTAATTTCCAACTATGCCTTAGACCTTGTAAATAGATGAACAAAGTGGGAAGTTGCAATTAACACCAAACTTAATAATCATACTACATTAGGTCTTAAATTGAATTGTTTTTTATATGCCAACAAATGAGATCCTTTTAGGGTTAAATACCAAAGTATGTTGGAGCAATTTAGGATATTACCTAAATGGATAATCATTGTGGTAGGATCATCCCTTTGTTGAATAAAGTGAATAATAGGGTCGTGCTTCTAGCCAACGAAGTATGCACTCTGAGGAAACTAGTAGGCGGTCAACACTCAAGCAACTAACCCTCAAATAGAAAATGGTTAGAGAACCATTAGTGTAACCACAAGGTTCATTGGTCTCTGGGCTTTGACGCGCATCCCTCAAATGGTAAGCAGTTAGAGAAACTTCAACGTAGCTATAGGGTTCATTGATCATCAAGCTTTAGATACAATCCTTAGATGCTAAGTGGTTAGAGAACCTTTAACACAACCAAAGGGTTCATTATTCTTCGAGCTTTAGATGTACACCCCTTAGATGGTAAGTGGTTAGAGAACCTTTAGTGCAGCCATAGGGTTCATTAATCCCCATGCTTTGGTCTACAACCCTCGGATGGTAAATAGTTAGAGAACCTTTAGCGTAGCCGTAGGGTTCATTGATCCCTGGGCTTTGGCATACAACCCTCGAATGGTAAATGGTTAAAGAACCTTCAATGTAGCCACAAGGTTCATTGATCTCCAAGGTTTAGTGTATAACCCTCGAATGGTAATTGGTTATAGAACCTTCTGCGCAGTCATAGGGTTCATTGGTCCCCATACTTTAGTGTATAACCCCTAAATGGTAAAGATAGGCAAATACCTTTCAAATTTCCCATAGAATGTTTTTTGGTGATTTTTGAATTTGAATTCTGTTGAATTGCTTTCCAGATTTTCTTTTGATTTTTCCAATTTCTTAACACTAGTACTATATCTCTTATATTTATTTGTTCAATTTACATTTTTGTATATATATATATATATATATATATATATTATCATTTTACTATCATTATTCTTATCAAAACTCCACCCTCCTTTTGGTTTCCCTTTCTCTTTTTTCTTTTTTTCCTTTTATTTTTCTTATTTTTTATTTGTTTATTTTATATATTTTTTCATTATACAATTTTGTTTATTTCTGATTCCTCCTTCTCTCTCTCTTTCTCTCTAATTAAACCCTATTAAAACAAAAACATTCTTTTTTTTTCTTTCATTTATTCTCCTTTCTCTTTTCTCCTTTTATTAACACTAGTATGTGCATGTATGTTCTTTGCACATGGCAAATTAAATTATGTGATGATGATGGTGATAGTATAAAATATGTTTTCAAAAGTTTTTACAATTTTTTATATTTTGATGTCTACAAAATATAAAAGGTATATATGCCTAAATGTTTTCTACATAATTTATATATGCCTAAATGTTTTCTACATAATTTATATATTTTTGTGTTTTTGCCTTTTTGAAATTTTATTATTTAATTGT